CTCCTCCTCCTGTATCCCCTTCAACTCCAGCCGCGGCACCACACCTCCTCTTGCATCCCATCCTCTGCTCAGAAACTCAACGAAACTGTCCTTCAGATCATCCGGCATAGGCAGCACAGAAAGCACCTTATCAGGCTCACACCCAATCATAACCGCCTCTACCGCCAACCTTCTTACCCCCGTCATCCCACTATTACCCAAAATATGCATCCAATGCTCAGGCACACTATCATACTCCGACAACCCCAACCTCATCCGGCCCCGGATATCTAATCCAAATTTGCACACTCTTCACCCTTTTGCAATTCCCCGCCCCGATCTGCCGTTCGAACGCGGGGACTTGGCCTGGACATGGGAAGTTGAAGGTGTTGGAGCCGTAGAGCGTGGAGGCGGCTTCGGCGTGGATTTGTCGGTTTGCGAGGAGGAGGGAGGGGGTTGGTGGTTTTTGGGGGTGGGAGACGGGATCGTGCCAGTAGCCTGGAGAGGGGAGGATGGAACCGATGTCGATGGGGGTGGTGAGGAAGAGGGCGTAAGTGTAGATTTTGTCGCGGAGTTCGCGGGGGAGGTGGAGGAATGTTGTGGGTGGCTTGGGGATTGGTGGGGTGGGCGTGTGTGGCATCTTTTGGGAGGTGGGCGTGGTGTTGTGGAGGGATGTTGCTGGAAAGAAATGCGGTGGTGTTGTATCAGAAGAGTGTGAAGATCCGACGTCAGGCGCTCTTTCAGGCCAACCGCGGGACCGGCGTACATCCTGCGCTAACAATCATCAGATGTCATTGGCTGGCGCATAACGTTTACAGAAAGCTAAGCTAAGACGCTCAGTGTCGTTGACAGTGCCACCGCAAATGCGCGACATCGACACATCTTTGTACCACGACGAGAAGGTAATAAACACGCCTGAGTATTGGAACCAAAGAGCCTTTTTGCGTACATTGAAAGTCAGACTCTTCGTTCAAAGCTGGTTGATCAAAAACGATGTCAGCCCGACGAAGCCTCATCGCGCTTCAATGTGCCCCACTACCAGGAATATGGTGCTAGCGTCTGGGCACGTATATAAAGGCCTACCTTTCCTCAGCGACCTTGCTTCCTTCCATCCACATCTTACCCGTACTGTATTTCAAACACCCCAACGACTATGCCATGATCTTCTGGTCTGGAGAATCCCAAAACTATCTGATTACTTCTCATGTGTCACAGCTTCAAAAACTTAGGAAAAATGCCTTTATGTGTTCTTGGGAACGCAACTCCAAAAGTCGCCCAGGAAAAAGACATGTGATCTCTGTCTTACGATCTTCAGCTATTTCCTACAAAGATCTTGTCGCATACAGAGACCTTCATCACCAGCACCCTCTCTTCTCGTACCTTCACCTTCCAATCTTATAATCCAAAACACGGACTATCGAAACTTATGTCTTTCTGGTTTGCACGGTCTCAAAAACACCATATTCACGGTACATGCCTTCAAAAACCTTCGAAGAACATGATGATGTGTCCGCGAAGGGTTGCTGTCCTAAGAGACATTCCCAACAATACATGATCTCTGCTAGGCACTTCTTTGATCATAAATGCTTAGGGATCTGAATCATGACGGTGCTTCAGTAGCGCCTCCATTTTTTTAAACTGGTCGAAGTCATGCAAATCGTCATGATGCCTCTTTCCCGGCGAAAATAAATGTATCGCTCAAGATTGCTCTGCTCTCTCCTTTCCACTTATCTTGTCGGCACATATTCAAAAAAGCATACGCTCTCAAGGTATGTCTGAGTCTTGTCCTCTTTTTCAAAAGCTCAGGTCAAGGTAACATGAAAGCTGCCCTTCGCAGATACCAACAGAAATCGAACTTCGCAAAAGCTTCAACATGAGCAATCATGGGAGTCTGGCCGAAGTGAGATCGTTGTCAATCTTCAAAAACGAACGCGATCGCAACCGATGCTTCTGTAAAAAAGGAAGGTCGATAGACATCTGAATGGCGGCTCTACCATGGACGCGATACAACGCCTCATTATTGAAGTATAAAAGTCCTTCCTTGCGGCGTCACCTCTTGTCTCTTATCCACTACCTGAAAACTTCACTTTCTCAAAAACGTGAGAGGTTGCGCAAATGTGCTGCCTGGCGTCAACTTCAAATACATCACAGCCTCGGATATGTTCGTCTGTACGGGCAGATAACTCGTACAAGTTCCCACTAGACTCTTTGGCTCAGAGCGGGAACAGCATCGTCGCATGAAGTCTGCCGGTTGCTTCGAAACAAAAACCAGATGCGAAATGCAACATGAGCGTCCTGGTTCCAACATTCTGCGTCGAAACACCGAGTGCCTCGCTACATGGGGTTCAAAAGAATTACAACGAGAGTCAAATGCTGGGTTTGCTGGCATATAAACAACACGAGCTGTTCGTTGCTTCTCTCTACCACGACATCCACCGCTGGGCGAGAAATTCGAAAATCCAGTACCACCAAGCCGTATGTATTTTCCTTCTCCGGAGCTCGGGTGAATCATCGAGGATTATCTGCGATGACTGCCAGCCAACAAAATTACATTGACGACATACCATGTGTGGAGAAGACGACCGCGAAGATTCCTAGTGAAGAAGATCTGATGTCGAAAAAAGAACTGAGTGGACATTCATGTTCGGACTGTGTAGGTCCAGGATGTATCAAACCCTCGAGTATGAAGGTCTATGTGTCGCTGTGGAGCACCGAGGAGTCAAAATGATTAAGGAATCTATTCATCTCTTTGGAAGTCAGCGTGCGAAGTGTGCATGTTCCGCTCCGCCGAGCCTGGACGCAACGGGTATAAATACCACGGCCTCCTGTGTCTTACTCCTTCCTTACACTTTCTTTCCAAAGACCAAAACCAATACCTCAACACTTTCATGGTTTTGTTCGCCTCTTCCTCCAAAAAGGATACAACATCGACGTATGTTTGCGTCAAACCAAACAACTCTACCGTACCAAAAGCCACTCCGTCGGGCAAAACCATCTCGAAAATACCGTCAGACAACCCAATGTCTCGTTCCGGTCTCGCCTCCAATGTGAAATCTCTAAACAGCCGTTCCAAAAAGGCATGACAGGCAAACAATGGCTGCGCGAAAGACGCCCAGTCTGGTGTATGATATCAAACACGGTTTAGCAGTTTTCAATGTCTGTTCCCGCCCAGAGCCTTGGGGCATAAAATACTCTTTTCTGCCTTCGAAGTCTTTTCTTCCTATGTTCCACTCGTCAAGGCGCAATTACCAAAAAGAACGGCAAAGCAGTCCGATGCTCGTCTCTTCGGAGTGATCAAAATGCAATCCTTCTTTGACATGGCGGTTGCGGCTCCTCAAAATTCAACGAAACATACATAATGAGATCCGCGCTGGCAGCTGGAAACAATGAGTGCTCAGAGACATGTCTGGTGGCTCGATTTCGCAGCCGAGATACAAAACCTCATCTTTTATGTTGCTTCTTTGTACTTTAAAAAAAAAGAGCGAGTTCGGAATTTACAAAAATAGCTATCGTCAACCGCACATGGTGTCTGGTGGAAGCTTTTCAAAAACGCCTCTACCATATGGAATGACTTGTTCCTCCGATATCTGTTAAATGGAGTGCGATTATCTTGATAAGACTCGTGCGCATCGACTGAAGCCAAGGTAGAGATATGTCATGAGAGAGCTGGGCTTGTCGCTACTATACTCCAGATGGTTGCTGCGTGTTTGAAGGACGTGATGATGATCAGCATCAGCGCGATACCCTGAATGTCCTCATGGTTTCCATGAACTCCAGATCTCCGGACGGGGCTGTCTCGTAATCGTTGAATTGAACCGATCGTAATCGTAATCTACACAAAATATACAACATCTCCCCAAGCCACACCACTACGCATGCGCAGCCACACCCCCCATAGGCCTCATCCCCTGCGGATTATTCGGCGCAGACGGCTGAATCTCCTGCACCGCCTCATCGTACTCCGCCGTACTCATCTCCGCAGCATCGCCCAACCCCTCATCCTGCTGCCCACTAAACATCTGCGCGCGCATGCTCTGCTCATCCTCAATCTGCTGGGCAGCCCACGCCTTCCAGTTCTCCCACGTGCGGTCTTCCAGCTCCATTCCGATTTCGAGGGGCCCTTTGCCGAAGTAGGCGCCGACGTGCATGGCTTCTTCCTTGGCGATGCGTTGCCGGATTTCGGAGAGGTGGCGGTGTTGGTAGAATTCGCGACGGGCGAGGTCGTAGGCGGAGGCTTTGGAAAGGGAGGCGTGCTTCATTAGCCACATTTGGCGTTGGACGACGCTGGGGGGTGTTAGTCTCATGGTGGACTGGATGGTAGGGGTGGTTGGAGGTACCTTTCACCGTCTAATTGCTTTCCTGGCTGGACAATCTTACTCCAGTCGTACTTCTTGGAGTCGTTCCCGCTGTCTTCTACGACTAGCCTCGGCCGTGCCAGTTCCCATGGGTGGTCGCCGAAGAATTCTGAACGCAGCTTGTCTTCTGGGTATGCGATGGGTAGGGGTTGGAATAGTTTGCTGGCTTTCCGCGCCTTGCGCATCTTGGGTATGCGCAGGACTGGGCGGGCGAGCGTCTCGCCCGGTGGTATGTTTCCGACGACGTCGTACCATTGCGGGAGGTTGGGTTCTCGTTTCGAGTCGAAGAGGGCTTTCGCGGTCTGGCGCACCCGCATCGGGCGGAAGTCGTAGCGGCCCATGGCGGGCGGTGATCTATTTTATATATACAGATGTGTTATCGCATCGGCGGGAGTTCCAGGGCGAGAGCAAGGGTGTAGCAGCAGGTCGGGCGGCGCAATTGGTCGTGTGGTGGATATTGGGGTTCTTGCCCGCAAAGTCCGCAACTCCGCCAAGACTTCGCGACGCCGAAATCTTTGGAGAGTATGACCGCGACACTCGGCACCCGCCACAATATCCTCCCACCCAGGCAGCTCTTCGCTGAGCTCCGCGTAACCAATTGCACCCGAAATCCCCCAAATGGACACCGTCTGAACTGGCTCCCTCTGACACAATGCTCGACCTCTCATGTCCCTCTTCCGCACCCTCGACCGGACCTCTGCAGTCTCCAATACCGCCCATGCTCGCCCCTTCCTCGCCTTCCTATACCCGAACTCCGAGAAGAATACATCAAAGAGGAGGTTCAGCAAGAAGGCGGTAGACAATGCTCCGTTACCTGATAGGCCGTCTGCTCGCATGGACACTTTCTTCATCCAGGCATTGGTGCGGGCCGGGTCGTGCCCAAAGCATGCGAAACATGTACATACCCCGCGCGACGTAGCATCGCCGACACCGAAACACCAGATATCACGAAGGAAAAGCACGTGGTCGAATTCGGAGAAGAAGTTGGATGTTTTCCCCGAGCGCAAAGGGCCGCTCAAGAAAGTCAAAAACTTCGCCGAGAAGGAGCTGCAGGCCTTGGTGGATTACTATGGCATGGAAATTGATACCCGGCCTGAGGCGGACGTTCCTGACGAGGGAAAGCTGGTCTGGAATGTTGGCGATGACCACGAGCCCTGGCCCCTCCGCGAGCCAGCAGATGCGTTGCATATCAAGAAGTTAGAGGATTTGCTGAAGGATGATGAGTCACCGCACGATGAGGTGTTTGATACTTATAAGAAGCTTCAGTCGCCAGGAGTCGTGTACCTTACTACCATGACTATTCGAGCGCTACTGCACCACCTCGCCATTGTCGAACGCCCCACACCCATCGCAGCGCAACGGTTCCTCTCGGTCCTAGACGATATGAAGACGGCGCATATACACATAGTTCGCTCAGAGTGGACATCGGCCATACATTTGACTGGACGCGCCATGGGAACTGTGTCCGATGATGATCTGCAAAACACGCTTCGCATCTGGCAGGACATGGAGCACCGGGCCGGTCTGAGAGGTGGATATGTCACATTCAATGTGCTCTTCAACATTGCTGTCAAAGCGGGCAAATACACACTGGCCGAGACCTTTATGAAAGAGATGCAAGCCCGAAAGCTGCCCATGCACCGACACTACCGTGTAGCACTCGTCTACTACTACGGCGTTCTACAAAACGGAGATGCCGTCCGGAAAGCATATCTCGACCTTGTCTCCGCAGGCGACATCGTAGACACCGTCGTCATGAACGCCGTCATAGCATCTCTAATGCGCGCCGGTGAGCCCTCAGCCGCCGAACACGTCTTCGAGCGGATGAAGCGCCTCCACGCCCAGCGCAGTGCCACAGCCCGAGGTCACGTCTTCTTCAACCGCACCTGGCGCGACCGCCGCGTGCTAGGCATGAAATTTCGCGACGAAGCGCGACGCCTGAAGAAAGAGGGCGGAGACGAAGAGCTAAAGCAACTCCAAGACCTCGCGCCCATCGGCCCCGATTCAAGAACTTATGGGATTCTGATACGGCATCATGCAGCTGTAGCCGGTAACATCGATCGCGTAAACGAACTGCTACAGGAAATGAAATACAACTCCGTATCCCTCGACGGCACAATCTTCATCGTCATATTCCACGGTTTCAACTCCTTCGGTGGCGTCAGATACTCCTCCTGGACACTCTCCCGCCTCGAAAAGATCTGGATGCAGTACCTCGAAGTACTCAACAGCGATATGGAGCGTACCTGGCTGTCCAGTCTGGCTGTCATCGCAGCGCTCCGTGCATTCGGTAGATGCGCACCCCCAGAGCGCATACTCAAAGCTTGGGAAGAGATCCGCGCGTTGTGGCATCCAGATGAACGGGAGTTGGAGGCTGCGTTGACGGTGCTGAGGAAACTTGTGCCGAGTCAGTTGGATGGGGGTTTCGATGAGGTGGCTAGACCTGGGTTCTTTGATGGGCGGAGGCCGTCTTAAGGGATGGCTGCTTGTAAAAGCAGTTGTGTTGTTAACGTAACACGCGTTCTGTATCACCATCTCTTCTGTAACTCTGTCAGTGTATACAATGTGCAAAGCGCGTGTAAAGGTATTTGGAATATATCTCCGTATACCATGCTGGAGTCGCGGCGGCATGGACGGAGATGGTTGGCTAGAGTATCATCAACATCATCATATTGTACCGTCTTCTACCTCCTACTCCAACACCACAATCAAACAAAATAAGATAGCCAACCCAATTAAACCCAGGATCACCCTGCTTACCCTACTGCCACCACGATCCACTAATTTCCAGAACTACAAATCTACAAATCTGTCACGTACAAGGATCTTCCTTCTTCCCATCCCATCAGGCCCGTCATCTCCACTTCACCCCCAATCTCATCGCGTTACCTACTTCAGGCTATTTAGATCTACTTTGGTGGACTTGGGGCTTGGCACGGGTAGATTGGTTAATTTGAGGATACTGCGTGGGATGATTTGGGAGGGGTTGGGGGTAATCTCGGGGGAAGGGATCGGTGGGTATGGGAAGGGGATGGGGATATGGGAATGCGATTTTGGGTGGCATGGGAGATTGGGGATTGGGGATGGAGGATAGGGGATGGAGGATAGGGGATAGAGGATAGGGGATAGAGGATAGAGGATGGGGGATAGAGGATAGGGGATGGGGGGTTTTGGTGTTGGTTGGCGTTCGTGATAGTGTTGGTGTTGCTGGTGGGTTTGCGATTGCTGCTGTTTGGAGTGGTCGTACTGCTAGCGTCGGTGTTGGGTAGTGCTTGGTGGTTGATTTGAGGCTGTTCAAGTAGTTGTGTTGCTTCGTCTTGGGGGCGTAGAAAAGAGTTGGGGTTTGTGAAGTTGCGCTCCAATTGGTGTTGGTGGTTGGATTGTGAGCCCACATCGGTCGTCACGTTGCTTCGTCTCGAAGGCGTAGACAAGATTGCACGATAGAGGGAATGCGGCTTTGACTCAGACTAGGGTCTGGCTGTGCTTTGGCTTGGTTGTTGAACTTGTCTTTTAATCTACCGGGTGAAGAAGTGAGGGCTGGCATGTTTTGTTGGCTTATATGTTTGTCGCTGTAGCAGAAAGTAGAAACAGAAAAAAGTAGAAAGCAAAATTTCATTGTACTTAGAGCAAGAGGTGATTAAAGTAGAGAAGATCTGGTAGTACGCTTGATGATATCGAAAAGACTCTATGAGATAGACAGGATTGTAGAGCTAATCTAATACAACTCGAACTCGATTGAAATGCTCTCTCCATCAAAGGTCTTCCATGTAGAGCAGCATGTTCGGTGCCGGCTTGGTCGGAGATCGCCAAATTTTGATCCTGTTAATTCTTTTCTTGCCAAAGATGGCCCGGTAGTAAACGCCCAAGAACGCAGGACCAGCGGCATGGGAGCTTCCAAGCAAGCCGAAAAAGGCCTCCGCTTGAGGCGTCAATGGCTCATTCAAGGGGTCGTCTCCCGGCACGAAATCAACGCCAGGCCACTGTGCCAAGTCATCCAAGTCGCCGCTCGGCAGCCTGTTGACCTTCAACATGGCCGATGCCATGAGGTCTTTCGTTTGAGATGTGGCGATCGCGGATCGGTATACGCGCTTGAGGTCTTTACCGGCCGCGTGCTGGTCCCACATCACTGCCATGATGTCGGTCCATTTTGTAGTGGGCCACATCCATTCCGGCACTTCAGGCTTCATGCCTTTCGTAGTTGCCGCGGGCCCATAATTGTCACCGGCGATTATGTAACCATCATCTCCGTTAACCATGTTGCCCATCATGGCCAAGGTGCGCTATAAAGCCAAGACATGTATGTTAGTAAAGTCAATGATTGCTCTAGCACGACTGTGACCACGTACCGTTCTGGCCCTACCATCATCGCCCGTCCAGTCATTCTCATGATACCACACCCGAGGGACCTCATTAGCAGTATTCAACAGACCATCGGCCCTCGCTAATGGCACGCGCCACTTTTTCGCTAGGACTTCGTCCTCTTCATCGTCCCATCCAATCGACACGAGTTTCTCCCGCGTCACGGTCCCGGGTTCCACGTCATCACGGTTCATCTTGCACCAGATACCTGTTCTCGTCATCAGCAGATGGGATGGAGAAAGCTCTCGTTTCAAACCGCTTACTACATGAATGTTAGCAAAGAAACTAAGTACAATGCATGCCTTTGGTTCTAGCAAATAGCTGCATGGCTTAGACTAGCCTGTACAGACCCAAAGCAAGTTGAATCAACAGCTCGTTTTCGCTCGTACAGGACAATGAGAAGTACTTTGACTCACCCTCTTCCACTTCTAACCTTCTTGTCCCATAGTGCTGCGTCGGCTGCACGAGAAACAAGCTCGTGTGGCAGTGAAACAAGCGAGTCGTTAATTCCACGTGGAACGTCGAAAAGGCCTCGTTTTTGCACGTCGGTCGGCTGTTGATCATGCGAGCCGTGGGAGAAGTGGGAGCCAGTGATTACAGCAAGGCAGATACCCACAACAAGAGCGAAGAGACGGTATCGAGGAAGACGTCTTCTAGCCCCGGTTGGCCTGGCGCCATTGAAAATGCCAACAGAAATCATGGCGAACAGCTGAAGAAACAAATTGAACAGCGAGTGAAGAGAAACGCAGGCATGGCCAGAAACCTCGTTCTAGGAATATATACCACCTAGACATACGCGGTTGTCGAGGCCAGCATATGAGCTACTTGGCCCGGTAAAACATGATCCATCTTCCCAAAAGCGTATGCGTCAAGCGTTTACATGGGTACAGAACGCTTTCTGCGCCATGTCAGTTCCTCGGTCTTCCTTGCGTGGCAAGGAATCCATTTTTTCTCTCTGGTCTGGTCGGGGGCTCCGGCACATTTTACAAGGTTTCTAGAATCTGGTTAGGCTCTACTGTTGCCATTCCTTCGCTAGCTTTCGCGAAGAGTCCACGATGCAGGTGTGGCACATCTAGGCGCCAGACGGGGATGGCAGAATGAGCGATGTAACCTCATACAAATCCAAGTCCAGGTAAAGGATCGCACTATTGTGTAGGCCAGCATTCCTGTTTGTTCGGGGTCACCATGCCGATGATGGGTTGGATCCTTCTGTGGAGTTTCGACGATGCAGGTACCTTATAAGCTCGCGAGTGAGAAGGCCTAAAGTAGCGCCTTGGCTAACAGAATCAACCCTGCAAAGGCAGCAAACCGCGGCAGAACTGCCAAAGCATAATATCTTAGTTATCTTATTGGCTACCCCTACGTCGGGCCGTCCCTCCCTTTTTCTCTCTCGGTTAATCATCTCGTTCTATTGCCTATCTTAATCTCTTGCCGATCACACGGGAGCTTGATGCCGGCGGGGGAAACGGCGCGAATATGCATTGCACACAAGTCGTCACAGAATGAACAGAGTGCGCCTTTGACTCAGACTGCTGTCTAGTACTGGTTTGGGCTGGTTATCAAGATTGTGCTTTGGTATACGGTATGATTGCGATGGCTTTGATGACTTAACCGCTAACGCATGTCTTCCTCCGTCAAGATGCTCCACCATCGAAAAGAGTAAGGAATAGAGTTAGCAAGAAATGGCGCTCTCGTCGGATGCCGCATGCCCAGATCTACCATGCGCTTGTCATCCCATATGGCAAACCCATATTTACGCCAGATGTGGAAGGGGTGGGGAAGCCTGAGAAAAGCTCCGTCAAACCATCCATCCTTTGATGACATGGCGCACCAAAAGCGGTACGCCCATGTGTTACTGTTGAAATTTTCTGCACCCTGACACAACTTGTCCTTGCCGAACTCGAAGAAGAGCGGCTCAGCACAGAAACACCTCGAGACTACCCCTTCAACCCAACGTATTGTTGGCAAAGTGTAAGCGTTGTGGTGAACAGCTTTCACCGAAGTAATGGTTCCAGAGGTGACTGCGCCGAGAAAATCGCATGCGGTCAGAATCTGCTCCCTCTCGTAGTCAAACACGTCGTAAAAGCCATCCGCACTGCTCTGCGACAACGCATCAACTTCCTGTCTCGGCCAATTGGTGTCCAGGTGGCCCTTGTGACCGGCGCCCTGCAATTCCATGAAATACTGCAGTTGCCAGAATGATCTGATCATCCGCTGCTCCTCCACCCACGAAGGCGGACCGGTATCCTCTGGAATATAGTCCTTTCGACTCTGAGCGTTCTCGAATTCCTCCCGGGGTGTATAGCCGGACCCATTTTCGATGAGTGTAGAGGGCCTTAGCTCCATAGATTTCCGTATCAAGTGCTCGAGGCAGGCATGGGACCAAGCATGCGCATTCGCGGCGCTGGCGAGCAAGGACCGTACTGCCGTGGCGGCTCGGTCCAGTCCAGACGAACGCATTTTGTCGGTGGCCATAGTCGAGTCAGTTTCAGCAACGGTTTGAGCTTCGGATAAGGATGCTGGGAAGTCTGAGAACCGAGCTTTGAGCACCGCGCCCATGATGCGACGGGTCTGCAAGGGAACGGTGACCTCGAGTACCTCCTCCACAATTTCGAGCGCATATCTGTCGAGCACTCTGCCCATAGCGGGTGACGCATGGGCCAAGCTCCGTAGTGAGAAAGGGTCCGGAGAAAGTTTCGTTATCTTGATCCTGAGCTCCTCGGGAAGTTGACCAAATGGGTCTTGTTGAGTGTTCGCTTTCATCGTCGCTTGTAGAATTTTCGGTATGTTTCTTTCGAGGTGGGTGTCTGGAGAGAGGAAGGAGCTGCGGGCTCAACATAAATTATGCAACCTCCCTTCCTGCGCGGCGAACAACCCAGTGGGCCGAAGTCGGCTAGAGCGCAAGAGTAGAAGGTCATTCGACCTCACCTGGGCACGTTTCCTCTCATTGGACAATATCGACCCACTGGGTTGTTTGTCGCGCGCGAAGGTTAATGAACGTAACCGAGCACACGTCACAACGCTCGCAGGATGATTGAGCTTGATCCTTCGTTTCCCTAGTCCTTCACGTTCGAAGCAGATCTAAGCCTTTTCTGTTTCTTGGCAATTTCTTGGCAGTTTCTCGGCAATTGCTTGCGCCTACAACCAATGCCATTTCCTCCCAGACCACAACCTTGCAAGCCGCGGCGATCGCCCTGACAGGATCAAACTACGTACATTATGGTGACATCGTTCCCGCCTAACATTCATTCATGTCTTGGCGGCACGGGTATTACGGGAGGCGTAACAAGCGAAGGATCAGTCCCGCAAAAACCCACATGTTCCTTCTGTATCCACTGTAGTCCCATCAGGAATGTTGGCCGGTGGCAAAGACAAAGCCCAAGCTTGAGCTTTTCAGAATTGAATGCCAGCGCCAATGAGCAACGCAGGGCCTTGAACCAGCTGTCTGTTTGGGCTATTCGAGTGGAACCACAATATGGCACGAAAATTTTGATCTCATCCTGGACCGCGCCGCACAGGGTTGAAATGGGTTAGTAGGCCCTCAAGTGAATGCACGCTACGGGGAGGAAGAGTAGGAAAAGACACTAGACTTGGAGACTGGAGGATGGGCAAGAGCCGTCAGACCCGTGGAGTGAATACTAGAGACCTGGCATAAGCGGAACAGCAGTAGTACCACATGCTCAGGTGTACATAAAACCAACATCTTCATATGTAGATGACGACCCTGCCACGAAGCCTCTCCTCTTTTCCTCAAGGCAACTTTTTCAGCGTCGAAAATGGCACGCGTCAAGACATCAGCGCGTCTTCTTGGGCTCGCCTTCTTTGCCCTGCAGGGCGCTCTGGCGGCTAAAGCTCCGGACATCACCCACCAGTCCCCAGAGCATGCGCCGCCCATTCCCTATCTCAACCTCATGGCCTTGTTCACAATGCCCCAGAATGTCAGCCGCGTTTCATCCGAAGAGTCAGATCTCCTGCCCAACCTCTTTGACAAGAGACAACGCGAAGAGGATGGGAACGGAGGCCTCTTGTGCAAAAAGGGTCCCTGTCCCGACGGAAGGTGAGTTATCATGCTTTAATCCTTGGAAAGCAAGGAGCGCTTAGGAAAGGATTCTTTCTGACTGTACTAGTTGCTGCGGCCCTGCGGGAGTATGTGGTTACGGTGAGGATTTCTGTGGCGTCGGCTGCAGCAGCAACTGTGATGCCGTGGCCATGTGCGGCGAATTCTCCGACGGAGGAAACACAAAGTGCGGCATGAACCTGTGTTGTAGTTGGGGTGAGTGATGGCTATGTTCATTGATCCTGTAGTCTCTTACTGAACATTGTTCTAGGTGGATGGTGTGGAACATCCGAAGTTCATTGCATCGGGCCAAACAAGTTCACACCGTGCCAGGAAGGGTTCGGCTCGTGCGAGATCATCCGACCAAAGACATGCGGCGAGGGCTCTGGAACGACAAAGGGCCGGACCGTTGGGTATTACCTGGCGTCCAACAGCAGAGACCGTCTCTGCAACCGCATCTTTCCCAAGGATATCAAGGCCGCGGATTACACCCATCTCTTCTTCTCCTTTGCATCCATCGACCCCAAGACCTTTAAGATCCGGCCCTGGGATGACGCCGACATTCCGCTGATGAGGGAGTTCACGGCTCTCGAGACGAATACCTGGATCGCCGTCGGCGGCTACACATTCAGCGACGTGGGCGACACACACACGACTTGGAGTGACGTGTGTTCCACCCCTCAGAACAGGGCCGCCTTCATCCAATCGTCGGCTGAGTTCATGGCCAAGTACGGCTTCACGGGGATCGACCTAGACTGGGAGTACCCTGTGGAGGCTAAGCGGGGAGGCTCCAAGGGAGACACTGAGAACTTCGTCAAGCTCGTCAAGGAGATGAGAGCAGCCTACGGAACCAAGTACGGTATCAGTTTGACTCTTGCGCCCGACTATTGGTATCTTCGGTACTTTGACGCAGAGGCCATGCAGCCCTATGTCGACTTTTTCGGCTTCATGGCGTACGATTTGCATGGGTCCTGGGACTCTGACGTGCAAACTTTGGGATCTCTGGTGCGCGGCCAGGCAGATGTGCGAGAGATTTATAATGGTGAGCCATGATGAAGCCCTGCCATTTGAGTCGTTTGCTAATACCTTGCAGTGAGTATTCAGTCACGACCGACTTTGTGGTCCCTGGCCAGAGACATGTGATTGCGGAATTATACTAACTGGTTGTGACCCAGAACACCTTGCCCCTCTGGTATGCAAACCTGGATCCGGCCAAGATCAACTTTGGCCTTGCGTGGTACGGAAGAGGATACACGCTGTCTGGTAGGGAGCTGCCCTCCCCAACGATTGCCAGCGCACGTCAACTGACTATTCATTGTAGACGCCAGCTGCAACACGCTCGGATGCCCGTTTGCAGGTCCCAGCAAGGCGGCCGAGTGCACCCACCAGGACGGCGTCATGTCGCTCCTAGAGATCAAGAAGCTCATCAAGGAGAAGAACCTGACGCCGCGCCTCAACAGCGAGTCGATGATGAAAGAGCTCATCTGGGACGACCAGTGGATCGGCTACGACGACGAGGAGACACACGAGATGAAGCGCAAGTTCGCCAACAACCTCTGCTTCGGCGGCACCATGGCGTGGTCCGTCGACTTCAACTCGGGCACTGGCGACGGCGACAGCGCGCCCATATCCACGGACGGACGATGCGGTCCCGCTGGCGGCGGCTTCAGGTGCGAGGGCAGCACGTTCGGCGACTGCTGTTCGTCGTTTGGATATTGCGGAAGCAGCGAGACGCACTGCGGCTCTGGCTGCGTGAGTGGAAAGTGTGTGGAGGGACAGGAGACGACGGACGGAACCTGCGGCGCGTCGGCGCACGGGGCCTTCTGCGGTCTGTGGCCCCAGGGGAGCTGTTGCTCGTCTTCTGGATACTGCGGTGATAGCGAGGGTCACTGCGGTGCGGGCTGCCAGAGCGGCGCCTGTCTGGATGAGCCGGCCAGTGGCAAGGGCTCGGGGCCCATCTACATTGCGCCTGAGGTCTACGAGAGCCCGGACCCGGTCGCGCAGTGCTTCCCGCCGTGCACGCTAATCATGCCGCCGTGGTCCCTCGCCAAGCCGACGACCATCTCCCGCCCCGCCACCACCGTCTCGTATCTCGACACGTGGGACACGACCGTCGTGACGACCAGCACCGTCATCTCGCTGCAACCCGTCACCACGACCCTGATCGAAGTATGGAATGTGATATGGATCGACGGCGACAACGAGGACGCCAAGACTCGCACTACCGTCGGCCTCACGTCGAGCGTCGACTTCCCGCCAGTTACGCTCACCAGGACCAGGACAGGACAGCCTCCCGTCACCTGGACATACTCGCCCGGGCCTTGGCCTACCATTGACTCGACCGACGACAACCCTTTCCCTCCGCCTCCTCCCCCTCCTGCGGGCCAGCCACCATCTATCACTGCCGTGAGGGGCCCGCCAAAGCCGACCTGCAAGCCTGGGCAAAAGTGCGGAAGCCTTTGCAAGCACAATTGCGGCGGTGGAGACAATGACAACAGTGGCGGCGGCGGTGGTGGTGGTGGTGGAGTTCGCGGGCGTCCTTGCATTGGCATCTGCGGCTGCATTGGCCCCATCTGCAACACCCCCAATCGCAACTGCGTTGGCCCGGTCTGTCCACCCGGCAGTGGTGGTGGAGGAGGTGGCGGCGGCGGCGGCGGTGGTGGTGATCCCAACGATCCGGATGAAGAAGAAGACGAGGATGACGAGTGCACCACGAGAACAGTGACCGACCGCTGGGTCTCTTGTGACGCTCAGCGGACAACGGAGTGCACGACTTACTCTACCTCGCTTGTCAGCGAATGCTCAGCAACAGGCATAGCAACGACCACCATAGGCGGAAGCTGCCCAATGTAAGTTTCGCGCTTGGTTCCCACTCAACTTTGCACAGCATGCTCACAAATTTACAGACCTACCTATGACTACGACCTGCAGGATACACATGAACAGGTCCCAGTCGAATACAGCCTCACACAGGGAACAACCGTCTACAATGGAAGGACTCGGACGACTTACGGGTGGACCTTCAACCCACCAGGCGGCACTAAACCAACCCGCGGGGGCAACGGCAACGGAGGACAGGGCACGCGTACCTCTGCCCAATCCAGCGGAGGCATCACTCCACGACCCACCATTACCTCCACAGCATACCATCTCCCAGGCGCGCCCACCCTCGCGACAGTCGAACCGCCTTATAGCGGCAGCGAGTGCAGCTCGTATCTGCACACGACCAGGTGCAATGCCGCTGGCGGCCTGCAGGCTTGCCTGACACAGGATCTGTGCGTCCCGACCAGGCCCTGCTACTATACATACGCTGCATCGGGCACCCCTTCGTGTTCGGGCGAGTACTCCATCTGTCTGAGCACCACTATCTTCACCAGATGCGGCTTGATAGGCGCCGTCGCTGCCCGGGCTGACGCGACTCCGGCTCCCTCCCCTAACCATAACGTCATCGGCGATGCGACCGTCACAGCAGCACCATCGGTTCCGACATCTGATCCCAGTCTCAAGCTCGAAGAAGACCATGATCGTCATCATGCTCATCAGTCGGCCGAACCAGCTTATCCTGGCCATGGCCACGACGAGTCGGCTGATAACGAACTGGTGGGTTCTGTCCCGGACGCCCCTCACAACCAGAGCAGCGCTGCGACGAACGAGTTGAGCCTCATCTCCGCTCGACAAAACGCCGTCGGCTGTGGCGGCAGCAGCAATGGTGGATGCGACTACCTCCGCTTCTGCGCGTCGGGCATGTGCGCCAAGGCAGAGAAGGTCCCTTGCCTCGAAGCGCGAATTAAGGCTCATATGGGCATCACTTCCGGTATTGACCTTGAAGCCACGGTCACTGAAGACGGTGTCCTGAAATGCAAAGCCACGCGGCATTGCCCACTACTATGGGACGACGACTGCGGCGGTGTCGACTCGTTCGACTGCGGCGACGGCAGCACCATGGGTTTCAAGTACAACTACGTCTCGTACTACAGTAAGAAGTACGACCGCAACTATCCCATGTACCTCGAACTGTCCGTGGATGCCAGGCTGGTTTATTGCACACAAGACCTTCTCTTTAGGAAGATTCCGTATGTGTGTTGGGAGGATGAGTATAAGTGGAAGGATGGGCCTTGTAGGGGTCTTGGTCTCTGAACCAACACTTCAGCGCACGCCACTATTGTTTAGCTGTATTAAACTATAATATCATATCTGTTTGGCATACCCAAAGATGTCACACTTGGCGCACTAGCCGCATTCGGCATGCTGGTCTATGCACACGCCCGTGAATCCACGTGAACACGACTGTGCTGCTCAACCGCGTCCCTCAACAACACTTCGAAACATCCGTCTTGACGATGCCCAAGCGCCGCCCATTAGCACTGCCAGGTCGCCGGCATCAGTTAGTCTTCGCGCTGGGGTTTCTTCGCAACCATGCCTCTCCACGATTGTCCGTTTCTCCATCTCGAGACCTGCGCCTAAAATTATCAGCCTCCCTACTATGAGCATCGCCACTGGATTGAACGCTCATCGTAGTTTCCATGAGCGATGTGGCGCTACAGAGCTGCAGTCAAGTGCCTTGCGCAGACTTCGGAACGACTGCGATGTAAAAGTATTGCTTAGAGAGCCTACCCAACATCGAAGCCTGCATACCTTCGTACGGGCCCGAGCTTCCGTGGTTCAGTCGTTCAGTTTGTTTTCGTATTGGAATTACTACTTGCGCCTTCGGTGAGTCAGCTCATGGACCTGATTTCGCACACTTGAACTGATCATGTAGAGTTCTACACCTTAGATTTGTCATCCTAAACAATCGTCTTACCTATGAACTACAACACTGTTACCAGAACCCAACACCAACGGAACAGGAATGTTTGGAGTGTACTTATACCGCTCTCCAGCTACCTAGATCGTTCAGTATCTTGGCCTTCATCAATGGCGTGTCTTACACTATCTCACATGTGGACGTCATCCGAATCTTAGATGCATGTTTTGCCATGCGGCACGTCAAATCCAACAGGCGGAAATACCCATCGGAAATCCTAACGCGGGTCAACCCGACGTCTAGGATAGTCCTGAGCAAGCTCGAGAGTATGCTGAGATCATTCCAAGACGTCCTTGCGGTGAGAGGCGAACTCGCCGATGTTGCGCTTGAGGAGCTTCCCAGTCTTTCCAAACGAACCCTGGAGATCGTGGTCGAAATTTCTGACTTCTATATGGGAAGTAAAACGTGGCTGGCTGCGGAACTACCAGTTCATGATGCTACGAGAGTGACTAGAGCTCTGCATCGACATCTCAAAACGTGCGTTCGTTGGTCTAAATGGATGGAAGACCTCAGAGCTCCAAGAGGCAGAACTCCAGGACAAGAACGAAAAAGTTCCATATATGGAACTATCCGGGATGCTAGGGGGTGGCAGATGCGCGCTATAAAGGAAGGCCAGCAGGTACTCCGACTCCTCGATAGATGTTCTTCGACGCCGGGAGTTGAACACGTTCGGTCTGAGGTGACTAAAATCGTGGATATGCACAAAATATTCCTCGAGAATTATTGACAACCCCTGCATTCTTGCGCGAGAGCATAGAAATGCGATGTACCTGAACGATTGCTCGGCTCGCGAGATATAGTACTTCAGTGGGGTTTCCGCAAAATCGTCGGGCCGCTAGGGGTCCGAACAGCGTATATGAATATATGCAGCAGTGGTGAAGGGTACAGCAATGATGGAAACGATTGAGAGCCGATGCTTGCCGGCCGTATCTCATTTCTCATGGACCGAACGAGTCCGATGTTGCAATAGAACGACTGTTAGTATAGACTGGTAGCGCCATCAATTGGATGAGTATCATGTCCTTGCCTTTACGATATGCTTGAAACGTCTGTAGAAAAGTAGTGTAGTGGCACGTGACGCTGGGAGGTGGAAAGTCGGCACGAAGTCGGTGCCTCCACGTCCCGCGTTTCCGATGCCAATGCCAATTTTGATCCTTTCCATCTCTTCAGCCTCAATATTTGCATGGCAGTCATACATCTCAGGTATGCATGTGAAAGTCATCTCGCCATTCTTCCTCCTTCAAGCGACCTCGGGATGCAGGATCTCGTCGCGTATCGTGGTGACGCATAGACACACGAGATTCGGCGTTGTTTCCCGCCAATCTCGTCACGGTTGCACCAGAACAACGGGGACGCCGCGTCGGAGGATCCATCGAAGGAACACGATGTCAAGTGTGTCATGTCGCGAATCCGAGGATCCTGCACCGATACATATACATAGCATTGTTGTTGACCTTGCCGATTAGTCGGGATCCCAGCACAAGAGATGAGACAGAATCCTGCGCCGATCGATTGCGATTGGCGCGACACCCAAAGAAGAACGACGAGATGAATCAGCGAGTCATCTGGCGTCGGAGGCTAACGATTGGCCCGGAAATTTCACCCTGGCCGTGTTTGAAGATCTGTGGCGGCCGTCCCTGTGTGAAGGATTAAACTGGTGATGATATCAATGGCCAGTGCTCTTTGCGAAGGATTCAAGGTTCCGCAGGGGAACGCGCAATCCAGCCAATCTTTGCGTTTGCTTCAAAACCTCGGATTGTTGCGGCTGGCTGCTTGCGAGTACCTGAACCTCGAACCTGCGTTCGTCGTGCTCGGCAGGCGGCAGATATCGACATGTCACTCCTGGTACCCTTGTACATATACTGGAGTCAGGGGCGATGAGGCGTAACAGCCCCGAAAAATCCGCACTGCCACGGGACGCGGGATGGAAGCGTCGAAGCAAAAGAAGGGCCTCACTTTCTATCCTTTTGGAAGAACAATTACAGCAAGAGGCAACGGGGTGGTGCATGGAAGCCGGGTACCACACACATGGACGGTTGAAAAGCAACTGCTACGCTCACCGCCGTGGAACCTTCTCTCGCGCGCCGCATGCGCAGCCCGTGGAGCGATCCCTCAGGCCAGAAATCCGGCGTCCAGAAAGCGTTTCTCCCAGCGGTACCCCTGCGTAAAGTTTGGGCGAGGACCTGTCAAATGCAAGCATCCGCTAATCGCAGTTCGCTTATCACCTAGCGTTGAGCCTCCAACACGTCTCCACCTGCGTTAGTCTTGCGTGGACGGCATGAACCCAGCTTGGCAACGGCCCTGAATCGTCAACCGTAGCCTCGTGGAGAGGGCGGCAGACGGTATCCTGTCAGTCATTAGGGCTTGCGTTCCCGCCATGCGGCGTGGGTCGTTCGCCAACCTTATAGTTCTTCTGCATCTTCCAAAGCAGCGCCGGCGCTGGCGTTCACATTACCTGGGTACGACGTTCTTCACGATGTCGACATGGGAGCAGATGTACACCGATATGGTGCTGCATGCACCGGATCCAGATGAGGAGTTGCCCTTGTCGAATCGCAGGGCGACGATGTTCGGCACCACGCTCACTTTCTTGGTACGATGTCGTGATATATCTCGATGTATCATCCACTAACCACGCAGATAGATCATTGCATGGTTTGCAGTTTTCTTCCGTCTGTATGTCCGCATCAGAGTCGTCAAGGAATTGGGCTGGGATGATGCATTTGTGTTCCTTGCTCAGGTACGTTCACCGTTGACAGCTTTTACGTGTTTGACATGAAGCTAACTCCATTCAGTCGTTGAACACGGCAGCCACCGTCGTAATGTGTCTTTGTAGGTGGTCTACGATGCTTGCGGTATGATCTCGCGACTAACATGAGTAGCTGTCAAGCAGGGACTGGGTGAGCACATGTTGTACATTGGCTACAACCGTCTAGTAGAATACCTGAGGGTATGCTTATTCCTCAACTGGATGATTCGACTTGCTAACCAAGCCAGTTGTACTACTTCGAAATGGCCATATACGTCACCAACTGCGGCGTCATCAAGATTGCTCTCTTGCTCCAGTATCTCCGCATCTTCAAGGCTGGACTTATGCGGTGGATGTGCATCGGCCTCCTTGTCGCTGTGACTCTCTGGGGTATCGCCTTTTCGATCACTGCATGGTTTCCTTGCTTTCCAGTGCGCGGGTACTGGGACCGCACTGTATCTGCGAATTGCTACGGCTTCGGACTCGGAGACCTTGACAGCTTCATCGCTACATACAAGGCGCAAGCGGCCACCAACATGTTGTTCGATATCTCCATCTTCATTGCGCCAATGGTGTTGTTCAGAACACCAAACCTGCGATCCAAGAACGTGTTCGCAATGGCTGGCGTATTCACCTTTGGAGCTGTGTAAGTCGCTCATGCCACCCCGCCCAAGCATCCCGTACTAACCTGCTCGCAGCGTTGTCGGAACATCAGTATGGCGACTCCACGGCATCGTCGAGACCAAAGGCGCAACCTATCCCTACGTCGACTACACCTGGTGGTCACCAACTCTCATCATCCTCACATGCCTCGAAATCGACCTCGCCATCATTTGCGCCTCCATGCCAATCTTCTGGCCCATCATCGAGAAGTCGCTCAGCGCCATCTTCGTCAGCTACGAAGTCCAGGTCGTCGAGGAGCGCGTCGACGACTACGGTCTTACCTACGAGCTGGAACACATGAAGGGGGACGACAGGCCATGCAGTATAAAGAGCAGCGGGACGAGCACACAAGAGTTGACGAATGATGATGAGGAGTCACATCCAAGGAGACCACAATTTACGGTGGGCTTTGATCCGCTTAGTGAGGAGCAAAGAAACAATGGGTTAAGTACGAATGTTCAGTCGACAGCTCAGCCGAAATGGCAGCTCTAGATGGTCACGCATATACATCTCAAAACCAATAAAAACATATGCAAACAATCACACAGCTACAATGCACATACTCTGAATGCAACAGCAATGTAACTGACACTATCTTCTCATCAAGACCTCCCTCGCCTCACACCAACACTCACACATCACCAGCCTACGTCATTCCGACTCCCCTTCGGCCCGCCATCCACGCAACCTTACCTTCCGCACACCTATGCACTTCACCCAAGAAACCTCCCTGCGAATACCACCTCACCCCACAGCCTTGAAACAGAAAACCACCGAAGACATATCTTCGGCCTCATGTGTACATACAGTATTACCACCTTGTCCACCCCACGCAGCTGTTACGGCCGAACGAAAGGTGTCGCTGTCATTGAATCGCAAAGCGCGATGTCAATGTCACAAAGTACCACCGGCAACAGCGAC